CCGTTACTTTTTTGATCGCGAGCGACGCAGGCAGCTGCGCGCCGTCAAATAAGTCGTGAGAGTGCAGGCCAAGCGCAGGCAGCACGCGGAAAAAGGGGGCCACAATGGTGGCGAAAACGATCCAACGGAAGCAGGGACAAGAACACACGGGGGGAGCAAGAAGACGAAACGAGAGGGGCGAAAAGAAAAGAAGCAAGACAGAACGACCGTTACGCGCCAGAGGATAAAAATTAGCCTGACGAAGGACCCAACCATATGCAGTTGTGAATGCCGCAATTGTGCTGGGTGGTGGCGGACGCATGCGGGCGGTGCCACTGGGACCTTCGGTGGAGCTCCCTATGGGGCCACGAAGCGCTGTACTGGGTGGGTGAGACGCGGTCAGCAAGGGCTGTGCTGCGTGGTGGCGGACGCATGCGAGCGGTGCCACTGGGACCTTCGGTGGAGCTCCCTATGGGGCCACGAAACGCTGTACTGGGTGGGTGAAACGCAGGCAGGGAGCAAGGGCTGCGCAGGGTGGTGGCGGACGCATGCGGGCGGTGCCGCTGGGACCTTTGGTGGAGCTCCCTATAGGGCTACGAAGCGCTGTTCTGGGTGGGTGAAGCGCAGGGAACAAGGGCTGTGCTGGGTGGTGGCGGACGCAAGCGGGCAGTGCCACTGGGACCGTTGGTGGAGCCCCCTATGGGGCCACGAAACGTGCGAGGGGTGTGCCAGAATGGGGTGTGGAACCGCATGCCAGCGCAGCCACTGGGGCCTTCGGTGGAGCTCCCTATGGAGCCACGAAACGTGTGAGGGGTGTGCCGAAATGGGGGGTGGAACCGCATGCGAGCGCAGCCAGTGCGGCGTTCGGTGGAGCTCCCTATGGGGCCACGAGACGTGTGAAGGGCGTGCCGAAACAGGGTGTGGAACCGCATGCGAGCGCAGCCACTGGGGCCTTCGGTGGAGCTCTCTATGGGGCCACGAAACGTGTGAGGGTTTGTGCCGAAGTGGGGGGGGAACCACATGCGAGCGCAGCCACTGGGGCGTTCGGTGGAGCTCCCCATGGAGCCACCCACGAAGCGTGTGAGGGGTGTGCCAGAATGGGGGGTGGAACCGCATGCGGGCGCAGCCACTGGGGCCTTCGGTGGAGCTCCCTATGGGGCCACGAAACGTGTGAGGGGTGTGCCAGAATGGGGGGTGGAACCGCATGCGGGCGCAGCCACTGGGGCCTTCGGTGGAGCTCCCTATGGGGCCACGAAACGTGTGAGGGGTGTGCCAGAATGGGGGGTGGAACCGCATGCGGGCGCAGCCACTGGGGCCTTCGGTGGAGCTCCCTATGGGGCCACGAAACGTGTGAGGGGTGTGCCAGAATGGGGGGTGGAACCGCATGCGGGCGCAGCCACTGGGGCCTTCGGTGGAGCTCCCTATGGGGCCACGAAACGTGTGAGGGGTGTGCCAGAATGGGGTGGAACCGCATGCGGGCGCAGCCACTGGGGCCTTCGGTGGAGCTCCCTATGGGGCCACGAAACGTGTGAGGGGTGTGCCAGAATGGGGGGGGAACCGCATGCGGGCGCAGCCACTGGGGCCTTCGGTGGAGCTCCCTATGGGGCCACGAAACGTGTGAGGGGTGTGCCAGAATGGGGGGTGGAACCGCATGCGGGCGCAGCCACTGGGGCCTTCGGTGGAGCTCCCTATGGGGCCACGAAACGTGTGAGGGGTGTGCCAGAATGGGGGGTGGAACCGCATGCGGGCGCAGCCACTGGGGCCTTCGGTGGAGCTCCCTATGGGGCCACGAAGCGTGTGAGGGTGTGCCGAAATGGGTGGGAAACCGCATGCGGGCGCAGCCACTGGGGCCTTCGGTGGAGCTCCCTATGGGGCCACGAAACGTGTGAGGGGTGTGCCGAAATGGGTGTGCGGGACGCATGCGGACGGCAGCCACTGGGGCCTTCGGTGGAGCTCCCTATGGGGCCACGAAACGTGTGAGGGGTGTGCCAGAATGGGGGGTGGAACCGCATGCGGGCGCAGCCACTGGGGCCTTCGGTGGAGCTCCCTATGGGGCCACGAAACGTGTGAGGGGTGTGCCAGAATGGGTGTGGGAGGGGGAGGAGGGGGGGGGGAAGGGGAGGAGGAGGAAGGAGGAGGAGGAAGGAACGCGGGGCGACGTCTCTTCAAAACGAGGACCCAACACCACAGGATGGTTGGGAAAAAACAATATCCTCTTGGCCCGGACCAGCAGGTTGCCGAGCACCGTCTGCTCGGTGAGCACCTGCGGTCGTGAGGAAAAACGCCCGACATCTGGCGCCTCCGACGAGATCGAGGCGGCCAGCCTTGTGCCACCAGAGGGAAAACAAACTGCATGGACATAAACCTTCGGAGCTCCGCGCGGATTTCTTAGCTCGGCGCTGGAACCTCCTGGCGGCGCATCTGGCGCAACCAGGGGGGTGCACTTTTTGGCCTCTAGAGAGGCCGTTCTCGGGCGCTCCGGCCTGTTAGCAAACGGTCCAGGATGAGAAGATGGCCCCGGGGAGAAGGGTCGAGTCGAGAGGTTGCGGGCCTACTTCAAGATGTAGACCTAGACATGCTCGCGTCGTGAAAAAATGTTCGAGCGATCTCCACCGTCGCTCACATGCTGTGATGCTTGATGGGTTGGTATGGTATGGCGTTATGACGTACTCCGTCATGGTACGATGTGTCATGCTATGGACTGATACGAGCCGTGAAACTGTGTAACGGTGTGATATGTTCTGCCATGGTATGCTATGATATGGCATGCTCCGTCATGGAGTATCATCGTATGCTCTGCTATTGTGTGTTGTACGGTATGGTGATATGTTATGCTCTATGTAACCAATTTTGTCATAGGTTATGGTGTTGTGCTACGGTATGGTTTGATATGGTATGCATAGTTTGCCGCGCGTTGTCATGTTATGCGTCGTCATGGTATGGAGTGGTATGTGCTGTGATGCTGTGTTATGGTGTGGTTTGTTGTTTTGTTCATGTGATGATATGGTGCGTCATGTCATGTTATGGCATATTATGTTATGCGATACATGCTCCGATATGGCATATAATGTGTTGGTATGCTGTGTTGAGCTGTCAAAAGATATGGCATGTTATGTGGCTGTGTGGCGTGATCTGTTTTGGTATGTTCAGTTATGTGCTGATTTGCTATGGTATGCTTGATGTGTTTGTCATGATGTGGAATGAGATGTGCTGTGAAGCTGTGCCATGGCATGCTCTGTTCTGCCATGGTGTGTCATGTTACGATATGGTCTGTCATGGTGTGGGAGTGGGCGAGTCGGCGCGGGGGGCGGAACCCTCAGGGCTTATCGGGGGACCTGCGGATCTGGCGGCCGCAGTATGCAGAGTGAGCGAGTCGGCGCGGGGGGCGGGACCAACAGGGATTATCAGGAGCCCGGGGATCTGGCGGCCGCGGTCTGCAGGGGGGGGCGGGGGCGGGACCACCAGGGATTATCGGTAGCCTGGGGATCTGGTGGCCGCGATATGCAGGGCGGGGGGGGACGGGACCACCAGGTATTATGGGGAGCCAGGGGGTCTGGCGGCAGCGGTACGACGGGCGGGCGGGCCGGGAGATCTGTTCTTAAAATCTAGCGACCCCAACCTGTCGGGTGGGGAACAAGACTGGAAATTGTTCGTCGTTCTCGGCCTCTGGGGGCCCTTGCCGGGACCCGGGACCGTCAAAACCGACTCGCGATGAAAAAACAATCCTGAGGAATTGGTCGGGATTTCTGGGGACCGCGGACGGCAACAGCACCTTCGGGGCACCTTTCTTGACGCGGATTGATAGTTGAAGGGCCCTGTTCGGGTGCGTTCAGGAGAGCACCCTCCTGCAACCCTCCACCGCCCCCCCGTTCTGCTCCATCCCCCCGCCAGCGTCCACCCGATTCCGCCAGCGCCCGCCTTCTTCTTCATGTTCCTGTTGTAGTTGTGAAACTTGTGGAGGTTATACTCCGCGGAGCCCGCGGGGCTCAGGGCCATGAAGTGCCGCATGTACCGCTTGAAGCCTGGGCCCTCAGACGCGCATTGCCTCAGCGTCACGTGCATGTTGTCCATGCGGCCCCGCCAGGTCTCCGTCACCCCCTCGCAGGCGCGACAGGTCTTTGGGATGCTGCCGCCGCTGCCCTCGAACTCCCAGCCCCTGCTCTCCTCTCGGCTGCACGCAACAGTGACCTCAGGCAAGAGTAACCTTTGGTGCGCGACTTTTTGGGGGGCCGCGGGGAGGCCGAACCAGAGCGCGCAAGCCGCTGCTATCGCATTGCATTCAGCCATACTGCACCCGCACCAAAGGCCACTCCGGCGAAAGGGCACTCCTACGTATAGCCAATCCTTGTTGCCCCCCCAGTAGAGCACGCCGAACTTCGGCTGGCCGCGCGCGCGCATGGAGCTCGGCGAATTCCGCTCGCCGGCGGCGTCGGTGGACTCCGACCCGTCCTGATCCACCGAGGCCCCGCCCACCTCGCCCCCGCATCCCCTGACGAGAGGGAATGAGGATTGTTTGATTGCTCGCGTGCTGTCACGAAATGACGGCGCTGCAGCTAGCAGTAAGACGATTGAGCTCGACACGGAACAAATAAGTTTTACAAGTCTACTACCCAGGCACCCAGTGGTCAGTACTGAATGAAAAACAGCACACAGGCGGCGATGGCGAGGAAGAAGGGCCGAGGGAGGAGGGCCGAGGGCGGCGGCAGGCAGGCTGCCCAGCAGGAGACCACCTCCCGCGCTGGAGCAGCCACACACCGACCTCTGTGCCTCCAGGTGGGCAGTTCCAGGAGGATGCGGGTCAAGAAAGCCTGCGATTGGTGCGCTCAGCCGACGGGCTCGCGGGCCGGGCCCGCCCCGCGGCCGGGGAGGGGCCAGTCACCGAGCAGGACCCGCGCAGAAGCCGCAGCCCTCGCCGCGAGGGTCGTCGTCGTCGTCGTCGTCGTCGTCGTCGTCGTCGTCGTCGTCGTCGTCGTCGTCGTCGTCGTCGTCGTCGTCGTCGTCGTCGTCGTCGTCGTCGTCGTCGTCGTCGTCGTCGTCGTCGTCGTCGTCGTCGTCATCATCTCCTCCCAAATCCTCATCCTCCTCCTCCTCACCTCATCCCCTCCTCCGCCTCCTCCTCCCGCCTCCTCCTCCTCCTCCTCCTCCTCCTCCTCCTCCTCACGCCTCCTCCTCCTCCCTCCGCCCCTCCTCCTCCTCCTCCTCCTCCTCCTCCTCCTCCTCCTCCTCCTCCTCCTCCTCCCTCCTCCTCCTCCTCCTCCTCCTCCTCTCCTCCTCCTCTCCTCCTCCTCCTCCTCCTCCTCCTCCCTCCTCCTCCTCCTCCTCCTCCTCCTCCCCTCCTCCTCCTCCTCCTCCTCCTCCTCCGCCTCCTCCTCCTCCCTCCTCCTCCTCCTCCTCCTCCTCCTCCTCCTCCTCCTCCTCCTCCTCCTCCTCCTCCTCCTCCTCCTCCTCCTCCTCCTCCTCCTCCTCCTCCTCTTCCTCCTCCCTCCCTCCTCTCCCCCCCTCCTCCCTCTCCCACCCCCCTCCTCCTCCTCCTCTCCTCCCTCCTCCCTCCCCCATCCCTCCTCCCTCTCCTCCCCCCTCCTCCCTCCATCGCCGTGCGCGCGGGGGGCCTCGCGCGCACGACGCAAACCTCGCCAGTAGGGAGGCGCAAATATAAAGAGAAGAACCAGATCGGGCGCGTTCGCCTCATGGCAACACGGTCCTCAAAGTCGCCACCGACGTGATCGCTGTGCTGAGCCCACTTGCGCGCTTCGGCGCGGCCCAGATTGCCGCAACGTGCGCTTCAGCTCGGCCCAGTATGTGATCGATTCGCTAAGCGGTCGCGACTGTTGCTTCGCAGATTCCTGCAGTGGCTGCGTGGGGCGATCAGAAACGCAAAGAAAACGGAGCAGCGTTTTCGAACCTAGTCACGGTCAAGCATCAGGTTCCCGTAGAAAAACGTATCGCTTGGACCGACTACCAATTTCTTGCAACTAACATAGCTGCGCTGGCAATGCTGCAAAAATAAATGGAACCTGGCATGAAGTTGTCGGCGCGCGATCAGCACGGAAGTCAGCACAGCCAATTCGGAGGTCCGTTCGACGATCACCTTCTTCACGCGAGGGTCGCGCAGAAATTGGATAAGTTGGTGTGATTCCGAATCGCCACTGAAATGTTCGAACCACATCGTCAATACGAGCACTTTCGCATTTGACTTCACGTCTTCAGTTGCAGCGATCACGTGGTTCAAACAATCAAGAGATGTTTTACTGCGTTGTCTAACGACCCAATGTTTAAAGACCACGTTGTGGTAGGTCACGGTCACTCGGGCATGGAAAAGTGCACTGCGCATGGCGACCTCCGCACGATCGCGCAGTATGCCGCACAATAGGTCGTTGGCGCGCCAAGCCTACGAACGGAGTTGAACAAGGATTATGCGTCAGGTTTCCGAATGACGCGCTTGGGCCCTGATTGTCAAACTACTCTGCTCTGCCGGAGCTATGGTTATCCAACACCCATCCGGCGCCTCTCACACTGCATGGCAAAGAGAGGAAAGAGCAAGACGGACAACGAGAACAGGACAAGAATGAGATGATCACACACACAAACACACACACACACACACACACACACACACACACACACACACACACACACAGACACTTGCCAACTCTCCATGTTTTCCAGAGCGGCCGGCTGCGCTGGCCGAAAGGGTACTTTGAAGACTGGTTCCAGCACGCGCGCACCGCGCCCTGTCTTTGCCGACCCCAAGGGCTGGGAGGGCGGGCGCCAGAACTTCTCGAGACGCAGGGGGCCGCGGCAGAAACAGGCACGGGCGCGGGGGCCCCTGAGGCCTTCTATATCTACCGCTCTGAAAGGCTCCCTGAGGTGTCGCGAAAAAGCTTATAAACCAAATATGCGACACCCATCTAGCGCCTCTCACCCTGCGCGGCAAAGTGAGGAGAGAGCAAGGCGGACAACGAGAACAGGAAAAGGATGAGATGATCTCACACACACACACACACACACACACACCTGCCAACTCTCCATGTTTTCCAGAGCGGCCGGCTGCGCTGGCCGAAAAGGTGCTTTGAAGACTGGTTTCAGCACGCGTGCACCGCACCCTGTCTTTGCCAACCCATAACAACAGGCCTCCATACCTGTGACATGGGTGACATGGCAGGCCAGTCGAGGGCGGGCCGGGGGGGGGGGGGGGGCGAAGCACGACGGCCTGCGACCAGAGAAGTTGACAAGATAGAAAGCTCGCATCACACTGGACGACCAAACTTTCTCAGGGCGACGCGCAGCTTGCCTGGGGGAGCGGGGCCCAGGCGAAGGCTTCTCGACAAGAAAGGCTGAGGGAACTTCGACCGCGCCCGAAGCTAAGCGCGGGCCTTCTCGCATCGGCGCGCGCACCCACGGGCCTCCCAGCGCCCACGACGCTGGATCCCGCGCAGGTCCTGCAACTTCTCTGGTGCGCCACGGCTGGCGCCCCGACCGCCACGGCCAACTAGGCGGCGGCAGGCCTTGCTCGCGATCGCCTCGAGCTGCGCCAGCGCGAGCCCGCCGAATTGCGGCCCCTGGCCGGCACGCGCTAGCAAGGCATCCAGGATGTTGCCGACGAAGCCCTGACCTTGGAAGCCCGTCCCTCGCGGCCTCCTTGTTGCGGCGCTGCCGAGGAAGATGGTTTCATCGAACGCGTTGGTCTTCGACGGGACTGGCTGCGTCGCCGGCGCCACCGCCGCGGCCCACAGCCGCTGGGGGCTGGAACGCGGCGGCCGCAAGACGTCGGCGCCACGCAAGCCCAGGGCCTCGCACGGCCGAAGGTAGCCGTCGACGCCCACCAGCAGCAGTGCTCCCGCCAGCGTCGACTGGAGGTCGCGGCCGATGAGGTCGCATGCGACAGCCAGCGCCGCTTCCCAGACGGCCGGCCCCCTGCTGCCAGGCGGCCCCCCTCGAGGGCCCGCTTGGCCTTCGGGAAGGCGCCGCCCCTGGTCGCCCAGCCGCGCTGCCAGGCCAGCCCGCAGAGGCACCAGCGAGCGTCGGCCTTGGCCTCGCCGCCCAGGATGAGCGCCACGAAGTGGCGCTCCAGGGCGGAGTCCGCCGCGCCCGGGTCGGCGAGGCTGCCGCCGCTGCGAGCGATGTAGCCGCTGAGCTCCTCCACGCAGTCCGAGTACCGCGCCGCCGTCGCCTGCCGCACGGTCGACCGCCGCGGGAAGCCCAGCGCCTGCCCCCGCGGCTCAGCCCGCGCCTGCCAGGCGCGGCCGCCCGCCCTAGCCCCAGCGCCTCCGGCGGCCGGGCCAAGGCAGCCGGCACCTGAGCGGGCAGCGCGGGGCACCGACCCCGACGGCGTCGCAGCCGCGCGAGGCCGCCAGCTGTCGCTCCCAGCGGCGCTCGAGCTCTGCCCCCCCGCTCGGCCGCGCTGCCGCCAGGGGCGCCAGGAGCCGGGCGACGCCGGCATAGACACGGCACACGCTTGGCGGATAGGCGGCCGCGAGGCTGGTCTTCCACACCCAGTGGCCCTCCACGCAGACCTTCCCCTGCAGCACCTCGCAGCGCCGTCGACACCTGCACTCGCGGCCCAGCGCGGCGAACAGCGGGTGGGAGGCCGCTATCCTCGTCGGCCTCTGGAACGGCGCCCCAGAGCGGCGCTGGCACAGGTCGACGATGGTTGCCGATGCCGACCTGAGCGCTCTCACCAGGGGTCTCCAAGCCCAGAGGCGCGAGAGCTGAGGGCTCTCGAGGGCGAGGTGGACCCCAGCCCGCCGGCACTCCTGGATCAGGCGCCCGCGCCGCCGCCAGGCCCCCCGCTGGTTCAGCGAAGCCGGAGGAACGCACCGTCGACCACCGAGTACACGGGGTCGCTAGACGCATGAGCCAAACAGCGCCGGAACGAATCCATCCGATGAGTACCTTCTGGACCTTCGGGTCCGCGATATCGAAGTGAGGGCCCTTCTCGCGGTCCACGGGGACCCCCGCGCGCAGCCCCATCTCCAGGATGGCCCCAGTCAAATACCCCTCGCCCGAGAAGACCTCCAGGAAGAAGCGCCGGCCCCGTCGAGACCTCTCACCCACATGACCTCCAAGACGCGCGAGAGCGGGAGGGGGATCCAGACCTGGTGGTGGACGAAGCCCTGGTGGGTGCACTGTGGCGCGGTGAACTTGAGATCCCTGAGGCCCCTGAGAACTCGGCGAGGAGCGCCTCGTAAAGGTCCTGGTGGAGCCCCGAGACCTCGATCGGGTCGCGGGAGTCGCTGGACTCGTGGATCGTGGAGCTGCAGCCGCACAAACCGTGGGAGTGGTTCTTCGGGTCGCACCCGCAGACGCCCAAGCCTCTGACACCGTAGTCCCAAGGCCGCCATTGAGAAAGACCTCGAGGGGGTCTTAGGGGAGCTTGTTGGGGCCCTCGGGCAGTCGCAGCCGTCGCCCCGCGCAGTCCTCTTTTTCGGAGCAGGGGCGGAAAAACGATCGGGCGGGCGCCCAGACGGCAGGCGACCTCGCGGCCCGCGCTGAACCTGGCCAGGCCAGGGCAACCCCCGGCCCGCGGCCCCGCTCATGCAGTCCGCTGCGTTCCGCACCCCTCGACATGCCGCTGCCGCCACACGACGCCGGTGGCCAGCTGGAGCGCGGCCGCCCGTCGACACTGCGCGAGGAGCCCCCCGTTCGCCGCCCGGCCCTTCTCGAAGGCCAGGACGGAACCCACGTCGCCCCCCGCGGAGAGAAGCTCCGCGCCGCGGTACGGGGTGTAGCTGGCCGCCCGCGCCAGGCCCATCAGCCCGCAGCGCACCTCGCAGTCGCGCACGCGGCTCGCCTCTCGCCAGGCCCCGCCACGACCAGCTCCCAGCGCTTCGGGCCCACGAAGACGTCGGGCAGGGGCGGTGGCCGCCACCCCGAGTCGACCTCGACCCGACAGCGCCCTGGCGCAGGGCCACGCGGCCTGGCCCGCTCGAGCACGCCACCCCGCCAGCCCTCGCCAGAGTCGCCGATCGCCAGGGAGCCCCCGCAGCCGTCGCGCTCCCGCTCGACGAACTTTTCGCGCATGCTGGAGCGGGCTCGCTCTCGGCATCGGCAGAGGTCGTGGACCTCGTCGGGCGTCGCGTCGGTCCCCGGGAGCGCGTAGCCCTTCATGGAAGCGCCCGTCATGAACGCAACGGGGCAGGGTGGCAGCCCCAAGCGGCCCACGGCCAGGAAAAGGAGCGACCTGGCCACCCTCAGCTCGCGCAACGGGGCCGTCGGCAACTCCCTGATCTCTCCAAGGTCCCGCTGGGCGACTTCGTATAGGATTCGGAAGACAGAGGGCCCCGGCCTCAGCAGCTGGTAGAAGGAGACCAGGCGGCCCAGAACAGCACGCACCTGCCAGCCCGCAGCCTTCCGCCACTTCAAGAGGAAGGTCCGGCCACCATACAACCGCCAGGGACGCTTCGGTTCGGCCCGAACACGGCCCTGCACGCCGTCGACGATGACACCCAGGATCTCCACCTCGACGCCCGCGTCCTGCCTCTCGCGCCACTTCAACCCCAGCAGGTCGAGGGCCGCCGTCATGCGCTCGAGCCTGGCCTGCGCGAGGTCGCGCTCGACCCCGATGATGTTGGCGTTGTCAACGCACGGGGGGGCCCCCACCCTGCCGCGCCCCATGCGCGCCGCCGTCGCCGTGTCCAGCACCATGACATCGCGGGGGCCCGCAGAGGACCTCATCACGCGGGCCAACGTCTCGCGGCAGATCCAAAGAGCCCAGGACCAGCCCAACGCCTGCCCGCCGTTGGCCCGCCACACGTAGTCGCCCGGGGCAGCCTCGACGAAGGTGCCCGCGTCGCCGTCGTAGACCTGCTGCGCGACAAGGTCCACCGCGCGGGCGCCCGGCACGTCGAACACGAACCAATCGGACAGATGCGGGATCTTGAACTGGGAAGTCGCCCATCAAGTCGACTGCGGCTGCATACAAGGCGGCATCGTCCGCGCACACCGAGCAGCGCAGGCGCCTGTCGGCCCAGACCTGCACCGACGCGAGAGCCTCCACCGACGCCATGCTGGTCTGAGGAGGCAGCCTGTGGAACTGGTTGGGCTGCCGGCCGCCCACGATCACGCGGAGGCGGTCGCCCTTCCTGTCGACGAAGAACAGGCCCACTATCGCCTTCTCCCGGCGGGTGGCCACCACGACGCCCATGTCGGCGAGGCGCCGCAACTGCGCGAGCAGCCGCGGGCGGTTGGCGCGGACCCTCGGGTTCAGGAGGGGGTCCCAGCATGGCTCGATGCGGGGCTGGTCTGAGAACTCGTCGGAGTGGCGCTCCAGGAACCTCTCGGGCGCCAACAAAACTTGCCGAACGCGATCGGAAACAAAGTCGAACGCCCCCCGAGGCTCTACCGAGACCTGCAAGAGGGAGACCTTGCCCTGGACGAAGGGCCGCACGGTGAGCCGGCCCTCCTCGGAGTAGATGTTGCTGGATTTGAGAAGCTCCCGAAAGGCCTCTCTCGGCTGGGTGTCGGGCGGCGGCGGACCACGTCGAGCCACCGAGCTGACCACCCTGCCTCACGCGGACTCCTGCGACGGGGTCAGCGCGGTCGTCTGGCGCACCCGCCCAGGACGGAAGACGCGCGGCGCTCGAGCGGCGGCCAAGGCGTTCAGACTCGAGAAGATGTCCTCGGTGGCCCTCCGCGCTCGGGAAAACAACGACGACGGCGTTCAGGCTCGAGAGGAAGTCCCGCCTCGCACGTCGGCGAGCGGATCGGCGGCCTGCCGATCGCTCTCTGCCGGTCCGCTCAAAGAAGTCAGAGGGCAGCGCCAGGGGAAAGGGGTCAGACGCCATGCCGGCGACGAGGCCTTCGAGACAAACCTGAAAACAAGACTGCAGCGGCCGCCGAACGAGCCCATGGCCACCAGGAGCCCTGCCTCCGAGACGGAGGTCGGGCAGAGCGGTTTGCCGTCTCCCCCGCCGCCTCCGCCAGACCGTTTGGATTTGGCGCCCCTGTCCTCCGCGTAGAGCCTCGCGTTCTTCATGATGACCGCCTTCGTCTTCTGCTCCTGTGCAACCCACTCGTCGAACTTGCTGGTGGCCACCCCTCCTGTCTCGTCCAAGGCTGTCGCCAGCATGCCCTCCAGCCCCGAGTAGTCGGGGCGATCGGGGTTCCGACGAATGGCCCGCTGCATCTGCACGACCCCCCTTGCAATGAGCTCGGCCCCTGCGAGGTTCGCGACGTCGACCTGGCCACACTCGATGAAGTGCCGCAGCGCCTCGAGCAGGAGCCGAATCTCGTGGGCCGCCCCGCTGCCCGGCGGGATCCCCCTGCTCGTGATGCAGCGATTCGCGTAGCCAGCGATGCCAAGACCTGAGGCCCTCACGCTGGTCAGAAACTCCAGCAACGACTTGGGTCCACGGAACACCCAGTCCTCGGCGGTCTGCGGGCGGCGCGACCCGATGGCTTGGTCGAAGGTGGCGCGCCGCGGCCCACCTGGACCCACTCGCCGGACAGGACACACCCGCGGGTCTCGACTGGGACCTGAGCGCTTCTCGTCTAGCCACTGCTGGTGGCGCTCCTCCCGCACGTTCTCGCAGACCGCGAAGCTCCCCTCGTCGTCGTCGGTATCCAGCATGGCCAGCGCCACCGCCCCCCGGCGGACGAAGCGGTCCTCGTCGCCACTGATCGCTGCGTCGAGGACCTGCCCGAACTGCAAGTGGGCGGGGTCGGCGGCGCCCCAGCGAGGCGGAGCAGCCGCGGCACCACGAGGCACCTCGATGCCCAGCACCGCCGCCAGCGCCACCGCCTGCTCCCGGATAGCCTCGAGCTCGCCCTCCTCGAACGGGTCGAAGGCTTACACCTGACCCGCCAAACGCCGAGAGAACGGGGCGTTCCTTGGGAGCGGCACCACGCGATGAGCCGTGAGGTCCCCGAACTGCACAGCGCAGTCTAGGGTGATCCAGAGCCACTTGCCAGCACCCGCCGGCACAAGGAGGACCCGGACGTGGAAGTTGAAGCCGTTCTCGTCGTCGAAGAAATCGATCGCGACCTGGGCTTCTGGGATTTCGAGGCTCCGCTCCATCAGCGCCGTCTAGCTCGCAGAAAGGCTGGCGTCGCCGCCGACCTCCCTTCGTCCTCCGAGGCCGTCGAGGGCTGGGGGCCCCCCGCGTCCAGCGCCAGGAGCAGCTCGTCGTCCACGAGCGCGGGCGGGGCAGCGGCCGCCGCCACAGGCAGGCGCAGCCGCAGGACCAGCCCAGCCACGGCGGTGGCCAAGGCCCCGATCGCCGCGCCCGCGGCGAAGGCCCCCAGCGGCAGCCCTGGCGCAGGGCAGCGCAGCTCGGGGCAGGAGGGGCAGCCTGGGCAGGTGAGCTGCTCTGGGCTGCACCTGTCGAATTGCTTGCCCAGCAGCCCGACGATCTCCGCCAGCACCGTGCAATCTGCCACGCAACTGCAGTCCGGGCACCGCGGAGGGAGGAGACATGGCGTGAGCGGGGCGACTGCCTGGAGCCCCCGCACGGCCCAGTCCATTCCCTCGCCAGAACCCCTTGAGCCGCAGGAGGCCGCGGCAGACACAGGCGTGGGCGCAGGGGGCCCTGAGGCCTTCTCTATCTACCGCTCTGAGAGGCTCCTCTAGGTGTCGCAATACGTTTATAAACCAGATAATGTACCAAAGCGGAATAAAATCAACGAACGTAATCCATGCAAACGTGCTCGTCGTATGCATGCCTGGCCCACGGAAATGCAAAGCCAATGCGACAATGCGCAAGACGAACTTGAAAAACATGCTCGCGAAGTCAATAGAACAGCGCTCCTCCCGACCACCCATCCAATCCGCCGGCCCGCAGGGGCGAGAAGGCTCGTGGGGTGACTGGGCATCACCCATCCCACTTTCCCCCTCCCATGGGGTCCAGAATCCCATCAGAGGGGGGGGGCGGGGAGAAGCGGGGGCACGACCTCGTCCACGCAACCCCCGTGCCCTCGGAGCCTCAAAATCAGACCCCAAGACGCGTGCTGGCTCCAACGGGGCTCCAACGTGCCCGAGAGGCCTCAGGAACGCGTTAGACAGCCTCAAGACAGCCCGGAACGCTAGAAATAGAGCCCACAACGACCATCAAAAGGGCCTCAACATGCAAAAAAACACTCATTGTTCATCGGTGTATGAATGACTTTCGCGTTCTCGCCGTTGCGGGCGTCTGCGGGCCCAAAACGGCACGAGGGGCCTTCCAGACTGGCGCAAGACGGTCCAAGAGGCCCCCAAGGAAGCCCCGAGGACCCCAGGAGGCCTCCACACGAGATGACACCCCGAGGATTGGAAACTTAGCTGCCCCGATACACAACACACGACACGTAGCGTATTGATATGGAGCCCGACACGTAGACTGAACACGGACGCTTTGAACACGGCACGTGTTACGTTTCAAAACGTGCGTGTCAGAGCGGCTAAGATTGGGAAGCATCCCGACGGCCGCGCCTCGCGGAGAGCCTCTCAGAGTTGCCACTGTCGCCCCTCAGCGACTGCCGAAACCTGAGCGGCTTCTGCTTCGCAACCCATGGGGGCGGGCCTTCCAGACCCATCTTGCTGAATCCTGCGAATCGGCGCTGGTCGACGCCAAGTCGACGCTGTAGTCCACGCTAGCCGACGTGAGTCCAACGATGACCAGACGCTAATCGACGCGAGTGCACTGCGAATCGGAATAAATGAAGGTAAACAGGGCTCCCGTGATTTGCTACCGAAACCGACGACACAGGCCCTGGGCGCCACGGAAACGTCAGGACCGAATATCGGCCTCCAGTGCCCGCTTCAGGCCACGAGACCCCCTTGCAAAAATCGGCCGGGCACGTTCTGCGGACCGCTGCACCCAGACATCCTTCGATCTGCGGCCCCTTCCATGGGGATACTCTTTCATCCCGGATCTATGTTTGATGGCCTGGGGGCCCGGCAGCAAGCCCCAGGAGCCGAAAACCAAGAGAAACGGCGGATTTGGTTGCCGTCCCGACAGACAAACACGGGGGCTATTGCTTGGTCCCCGAGGCCGCGCTAAAAGGCTTAGTGGCGGAGTCCCTCCAAAAATCATGCTACGAGGAGGTTTCCTGGGTAAGCCCCCGTTTGATTGGAGAGGTATTTGACTCGATGTTATCAAAGATTGGGACGGCTTTCGATGAGCCCCAGCTGCCTGGCGTCCTGCGTAGGCGAGGCTTGCAGCACCGCACAATGGAAAGCAAACTCCTCTTCACCGTCAAGACCCACAAGCCGGCGGGGGAGGTAAGCTTGCGAATTGTGCATAGTTGCGCTGGGCATTTGTATGCAAATATATCGAAAGTGTATAGTGCGTGCATTCGCCGGCACGTGAGGTCGGCGTACCCTTGGGTCTTCGACAGCACGGATGACGTTCTAGCAGCGTTGCGAAATATCAAAACAAATGGTTGTTGTATTATGGCTTCGTGTGACATAAAGGATTTGTATTTAAATGGTGATCATTCTGATATGTGCCGTCGTGTATCCAGAGCAGTCTGGGGCAGTGGCGGCGCAGTCCACGAAATCATTCTCTCCGGTCTTCTATCTAACCAGTTCGTGCACACGCCTCTGCTGGAAGACAGGCACTGGAGGGTTGTCTCTGGTGCTGGAATGGGGTTCCCTTGCGCGGGGGACGTCGCCGACGTAAACTTCGCAGAGATGGTGGAGGTGGAGCTGATGAGCCGATTCGAGGACCACGGGCTGTTGTTTTATGGGAGGTTTAGTGATGATATTCTGTTTCTGTGTAAGACCAACAGGGATTGGGTCCGTGTGATGAGCTTTTTACATAGGCGTAGTTCTGGAACATATAAGCTAGAAATGGCTGAAATGGGGGTTCGCGTTATTGATTTGTTGGATGTTCGAATCTTCCAGAATCGTTCCGGGTGTTTGTGCTGGGAACCATTTTCGAAGCCAGGGCAGATCAAAGTACCTCTGTCCCATGCTTCTGCGCATCCCCGTAGCGTGCATAATTCTTGGCCCAGGGCCGAGATTGACCGCTTGAGGCGCCGATCTTCCAGTGCAGCCGCGTTCGAGTCCGCCAAAAGAGCTAGGATAGACGACATGTGCAAGCATGGAGTTCGGGTGCCCCTCGCAGTTCCCTTTTCCAGCCCGCCGGTCAGTAGCAGCAGACGGGATCGGAGTGGGAGGACTAACAGTTTGTGGCTTAAGCTCCCGTATCACCCCCTGCTTGCGAGAGCGCCGCTTACGAATTTATTGAATCGGCTGTGCGATGCATGGGGGCTCCAAGGCCCGCGGGTTTTTAACTGCCCAGTGCAAGTGCGAATCAGCTGGTGGAATAAGCAGCCGAGCCACGCTCAATTGATTAGAAAGTGGCAGCAACGATATTGACTGGTTGGAGACCGGGGTAGGTAGGAGGGAATGTCATTATTATCATCATAGTAACAGTTGCATGCGTAAGTCGTCATTTTGGCTTGAAAACTTTAGCCGAGCGCTCAGAGGCCCCTAGGCTGTCCACGAGAGCGAATACCAGAACAAATAATTCCAAACATCATTTCAAAATATTTGATTTCTTGGAGTGGCCATCGCTCTCGTGGATTCGCGCAGTAGTTCTGCGCGGCGGCACCGCCGTTACGACAGACTTGCCGTTACGACAAATCGTTGTTTTTTACTTGATCGAGCTATTGCCAGAAAAAAAGTGTCTGGATAGAGTGTGGACATCCTTCGATCTGCGGCCCCTTCCATGGGGATACTCTTTCATCCCGGATCTATGTTTGATGGCCTGGGGGCCCGGCAGCAAGCCCCAGGAGCCGAAAACCAAGAGAAACGGCGGGACTGAAAGAATCACACCGTCGGAGGGGCTGGCCCATCCCCCTGCCAATCGACCAGGCAGGTCCTGAGGATCAGATCGTCGACGTGCGCGCGGCGGCTCCTTTCTTCTCGAGGGGGGGAAGGCAGGAGCGGACAGCTGTGACCCAAAACTAATACCTAACACCAGCAAAAGATCGGCAAGCACACGCTTAAGTGGCAGGACTGTCCTCCGAGCGTGGCCAAAACTAGGGCGCACATTCACGCAGAGGAGGGTGAAGGACAGCGGAAGAAGGAGGAGGAGAAGGAGCAGGAGGAGGAGGAGCAGCAGGAGGAAAGCGTACTCTGTGCCCTCGCGGGCTCAGCTTTCTGTTCTTTCCCTCCTGTCGCCCAGCTGCCCTGCCGCGCGCACCCAGGTCAGATACAGATCCAAGGATCCACCATATGTTTACATATTTTCTAGATGCTCGCCTTCCCCTCCACTTCCCCATATTCTCCCATATTTTCTTGGAGATCGACGTTTACTTCTGTCTGTGTCGGGGGCGAAACATTGATTAGCGATCCATGGATTTGGCGCGCGGTCGCCAAATCCATGGATTGGGGAAGGTGCCCTCCCCAAAATGCAGCCGGTGCCGCCCCGCTCTGCGCCGGAACTCCGCGATTTCCCACGGAAGCGGGACCCGTCGCTAATCCACGCCCCCTGAATCCACGTTTGCGATCGCCCGACTGTGTCTGTTTTTCCCTTCTGGTCCTGATCGACGCCGCGGCCGCCCGCCGCGGCCGCGCCCGCCGGCGCGCCGCGCGCCACCGGCTGCGCGCCGATCGGCACGGTCGCCTGCGCGCCCACGCCGATCTCCCGCTTCGGCTCGCCGCAGCGGCGGCAGGTGGAGCTGGGCGCGCGAGGGGAGGGGCGCCACGCGCGCGGGCGGGAGGGTCCTCCTCCTCCTCCTCCTCCTCTTGCGCCACCTGCGAGAACGGGCCAGTGCATCTTCTTCCTGAGGTCTCGCGCCAAGCCGAATCTCGTCGTCTTCATCCTTGGTGCAAACTCCTATGGCATCATGGTCGGGCTCAACTTCCTTGACGGCTGGGTGGACTCGGCCTGGTTTTTCCCAACCATCCTGTGGTGTTGGGTCCTCGTTTTGAAGAGACGGTGGCCCGCGTCTCCTCTCCTCCTCCTCTCCTCCTCCTCTTCTCTCCTCCTCTCCTCCTCCTCCTCCTCCTCCTCCTCCTCCTCCTCCTCCTCCTCCTCCTCCTCCTCCTCCTCTCTCCTCCTCCTCCTCCTCCTCCTCCTCCTCCTCCTC